AAACTCCGTGGCCTGTAGTCTGCAAGCGAAATATGCCGACCGAGCGACAGCCGTTTGTCGGCGAAGTTAGTACCAGCTTTACGGGATAGAGGGTGTCGCGTGATCATCGCAACGAATCCCCACGGCCGTTAATCTCGGTTTTCTAAACCGGAGCCGCTATTTCCTTGAAATGGCCCCTCAGTTATCCTCACAAGGCTAAGTGGACCCCGTTCCAGAGCCACTACTTCTCAGAAAATCTGGTAGCGCCGGGAGTCGAACCCGGGACCTCTGGGTCTGCAGCCAGTAACTCTGACCACTAAACCACAGAGGTGGTCATATTGCGCTACCTCGAAATGAAATTAGTTCCTAGTGGGGGCAGGATAATGACTACAGTCGAGGTACAGTGTTTTCACATTGAAATGTATTGTGAATTTGTCGCGCTTGTGAATCCCACTCACATGGAAACGAAATATGAACATCGCTGAATTGGAAGCTGTCGGTATTCATACCTTTCCTGTTATCCGCGGTATCAGCATGGCGGCCTTGTTAGTTTCTGAGGTGGGAGATAAACCTTTCGTTTGTATTGCTTATTGTTGACGGTAACAGAGCCATATAAGATTCTGTACAGCAGTATGCTACAGATGTCTGTAGGGGACCATGTTTTGTGTACTTAAACGTACAAACATGGCGTTCGAGTATGATAAATTGTATATGCATACTTGAAGACGTTGTGTAGCGAAGTAAGGCAGAATTGTGTGCGTGTTATCCCAGAATGTTGCGTCATTTGGTGTTGTAGATCGTGTTTGGAGGCTAATTTCGGGTATTTTTGACATCTTCGACACATTTCTGTACCATAATTGCTGTTACAATTATTAAAGCACTGTAAATAAAGAATACAAGCAAAAAAAAAGCATGAATGTGATAATATTATTCAGGGACATTACTGTTAAGTTCGTCTGGCCTCTGTTAAAATTGAAGTTTTTCAATCAGCTGGGTGTTAAAAAATTCTTTCTAGAACTATTTAGTTTAAATTATGAAATTTGTGGCTCGGATGTGCATTATATTTAGCAGTACTTCTTCAGATTCATTAGCTATAACATCGAATAAAATGTTGATTGTGAGTGACGAAATGTATGAGGAGGTAAGTTGTGTCGTGGCCTATTGTAATGCATTCAGTATCCATTACCGTTCCTTATAAACGCTGTTCGGTGCTGTATGCAATCCATAGATTGTGGTTTTCTGGTTTGTGACACTCTGTAGTCTTGTAAGCGGATACCGACGTTGCGGAGGAACATTCTGCATCCGTCTTTAGGTTTGGAGCACTCAGGCCACTCTAAAGATGGACGCAGCATGTTCCTCTGAAGCTTCTTTAACCGCCTACGGAACTACACGGTGTCACAAACTAGAAGACCAGAATCCGAACAGTCACCACCTTAAGAACCTCGAAACTTGAATCGGTAATACAGCGTGCCACTTTCAATCACAGGCGGAAGATAGAGCCCATTGTAGTGTGACTGTGAAATGTTGCTTTCTTGAGATTTCACTGTCTCCACATGTTTAGTTCCGCGCATAATAACAATATATAGCTCTGTGAGTCTGTATTCCCATTTGAATGAACACTGTCTGCAGAATTTTACGCACTTAACACAAAATTTCAAACGTTATATCGGTTTCAAATACATGGCGTTCTTTGTTATGTAACAGAAAAGATTGGTGACAGGTGCCACTGGAAATGGGAGTATTTCAAGTTCTGTAGAGGAATTCACAGGAGGGAACGGGGACAGTTAAGGTTACAGCGCAGGTAGAAATGTGCACTTTTGTTTACGTAATAGTCAGGGCTCAGGGCGGGTGTTTCGGAATATGTTCAGAATTTATTTTCATCATTTTGATATTTATTTTGCCGGCATTTGTCTAACTGTTAGCAAAAGGGAACACTAAATCGTCGCCAGGTGCGAGTTCTGATTTGCGCCGTCAGCTTCATGTCCATATGCTCTCTTATCAGCACTGATTTACGTGTTAGTATAGATCTGGCCAAGATATCGTGGACATGAACACGGTGTTTTGTTAATCGGTACTACAACGCGCCAGCTTTAACCAACCGGGCATTATTGTCTTCTGGAAGCAAGAAACAAAAGAAAGACGACTGCGAGCAGTATTTAGATTCGCATCAAACTATGGAACAAGCAAAATTGGGCCCCCACCTCCACATTAAAGTCACCCAGGACAACGTCGGCAGTTGATTGAAGCTTTCAGATCAGAATTGCAGAGACAGAGCTGGCCAACAGGATGAAATCGATGTTGGCTGCAGTATTTACTTAATGGTCCTCATGGTGTCAGACTTTTGGGTGTCCCGCGCAGGCTCATGTATGTCTGTGGAGGTGGGGGGGGGGCATCTCTCCGGAAGGAAAGGGTCTTCGTATCACAGTGTGACGTTTTCTGTATAAATTCCTTGCAATAAATTACAATATTTTCTTTCCCCTTGTATGTATAATTTATTTTCTTTTAGCTTTAAGTGTTAAATATTTTCCTTCTGTAATTTGATATAATTTCTGCTTCCATATGCATTTATTATTATTATTATTATTATTATTATTATTATTATTATTCAGAACTATAACCCAGAGGAGCCGAGATAGAACAGTCGGTGTAGCGACTGGCCATGGGCTGGACGACCGAGGTGTCGGAGTTCGAGTCCTTGTGAGGACAAGAATTTTCTCTTCTCCAAGTCGTCAAGACTGGCTCTGGGGTCCACCCAACCCTCTCTCCAATGGGTAACGGGATCTCTTTCCCCGGGGGTAAAGCAGCAGAGGCGTAAAGCTGACCACTCACCTCCAACTAGTGCCGAGTCAAGGAAATGTGGATCTATACATCCACTCCCTCATGGCGTAGTGCTTAATTAGTTAGGCATAGAGACACCTTTACTATAACCCGGACACTGAACGCAATGGAATTCTAATTAATGCATATTAATTACCTCGTAATGCATGTTTTAATGTGTAATTTAGTTACTCATGTCCTGGAGTTGGTCTCTGCTTTCCACTTAAGGTCAAACACTACTGCAGGCGTTATGTCAAGTTTAAACTCTTGTAAGGGTGAACACAGAACATTTTTTTTCTTTTTGATACAAATATGCGTTTCCACTTTGCGAGATCCTTAAGTGTGGTGTAGTACCCGGGCAACTTAATCATGCCCGTCATGTGTTACGAATGTACCATGTATGAGATCACCAAACGTGGAATTCATAAACGTTCGCCGTGGTTTTTGTTACCACGTCCATTAAATGAGAACTGTGTCTCGAGACCAAACTGTCGGAGATGGTGGAGTTAACGTTACCGCACTGCCAGTTTGCGTATAAACGGTCCTGCAAGCTACTAGAAGGACATGTATTTGTGTAAAGCACGTTGTTACACATATTCATGCAAACACATTCAGTCCCGTTCACAACTAACGCCGTTGCATGAACCCAGTGAGCACTATTGTAGTCCCGTAACATTGAATTCCGATATCGATTAAAGCACTTGCAGAAAGTAAGGTTTGAAACGCTGGGAGTATATCGACGAGCGGAAGCAAAGCAACACTGTTCGCTAGAAGCACTGCACTGAACTGGAGGAGGTGCCGAGGCCTGTGGTTATGTCCCGAAACAGCAGTATATTCTGTGATCAGTACTGCTGTGACAGGACAATATCACAGACCGCCGACCGGCCGGCTGTCGCGATGTGTTCCTATTCACCCATTCACTACACTCGCTAGCCACTGACTGAGTAAAGGGGCAAGAAGGGTGGGTTTGAGGGGTCCAGCAAGCAGTTCTTGCTCGCTAGCTGCTGCTCCTGCGCCCGTTGCTATGACAACGCGCAGTCCCCCTTCAGTTGTTTTAGTCTTCCCCACTCTGTGTTGTATGTAGAGGATGCGCCCACAGTTCACTCACGTAAAAGCTGAACCTTCTTAGAACAGGGCACCTGGCCTTTTTGAGATGAAAACCACGTGCCGGATGGTGCATCTTGACCGCGGTGTTCGACCAGGTCGGTCCCTGCCACACAGCCAGTGTTGTATGCGGCGCAAAGCGGTGTGAGGGCGAACCAAGGCAGCCCGCGAGCTGGATGCCTGGGTTATTGATCTCGGGGATCTCGTGGGGGGAAGAAGGGCGGACGAGCGCCGACGGAACAGAACTTAACGGTGTTTGTGTTACGGTTGCATAGGATTCACGTAAGTCTCCACTTTTGTAAAGGGGTGTGTGGGAAAGGCGTGGTGGACCTTACCTTCATGCACTAGGGATGAAGCAGCTCTGGGCAACTTCTGATATAGCCGTTTTCTCCTCTAGTGTACCTGGAACAGCGGAAATGATACACCTCTTGTTAAGACAGTGGCACAGGAACAGTCCCCCCACGGATTATCAGTACCACGGTCTTGTCTCGTTCTCAAATTGCCTCAGTGCGCCTGGTCCCTGTCGCTTCGCCTCCATATCAGCTGAAAGCTAGAGAGGAAGATGCCGCCACTCTGCCAACCGTCGGCTTCTTGCCGACGCCTGCGCCGCTGTTGCGTCATTATGTGGGGGAGAAAGGGAAACGGATCCAATTGCCCCTAAGATATGTGCCTAAAATGCGTTCTGAATTCCCAAAGCACTTGACAATTGAAATCGTAATTTCTGCTGGTTATTACACACCGAAGTTATTTATATGAAAGCCTGTTTGTGTTTCACGCCAGGTTCCTGAAGTTCATTATACCTAATGTAATGTTACACACTACGGTTGTCACATAATTTTTGCAACTTCTCTGTCAGCAGCTAAAATATCGGCAGTGATGCAAGAATGGAATTATTATTAGCGAAGCTTATGTGTGATTCTATCAAACTCTTTATTGAAACATATATATACACTAATGATAATTGTTGCCACAGTTATACTCACCAAACATCATTTGCAGAATATGTCTCGTGCGTGGAGACGGGCAGAATCTGTGAAGCCAATCATGGGGGGATGCTGGAACAGAGAGAAACTGATTACCAATGTGTCTGTATGTTGCAGCTCAGCGGGCATGGAAGGCAATGGGCTCATGGACCACGACCTCCATGGCAACGGTCTAATACCAGCAATGAACGGAAGCCAGAACGGATCTTCTGGACGTTCAACCCCAAGCGGTTGTGATCCAGCACCAGGGAAGCTATTTGTTGGTGGTCTGAGCTGGCAGACATCTTCAGAGAAGCTGAAGGAATATTTTGGCATGTTCGGCACAGTTACAGATGTTCTCATCATGAAGGATCCAGTTACCCAAGTGAGTCACCAAAACATAGGAATTAACAGTCAGCAAACAGCCCCGTGTATTGACTTTTTTATGTATGATGATATATAAGCAGGTGATTCTCTAGAACCCCTGAGTCAGTAACAGTCAAGTGATAGTACGTAAAGTCAATAGAAAGTCCGTCCAGTGTAACAATTTATAGGTCACTTCTTTATCACTTCTGCCTTACATGTTTCGGTTTAATACAACCATCATCAGAGGCACATAGTACAATCATGAAAACACTGTCGTTGTTTAAGATGTACACAGTTATGTTTGCTGCGTGGACGCTGCTACAATATGTCGACGTGTAAAAGCACAACACTTGCTAGGATTGTTGAATGCACTATCAAGTCTCACATTCCATCCGAAACTGCCCTCAAGTTAAAACGCCAATGTTAAAATATTTAAAAATTGTTTAAAAATTAAAAATTCTATTGACTTTGTGATTGATAGTGTAACGGACCAAAAATGAAACAATTCAAGATAGTACGTACTTGTCAAAAAGACATGTTCAAACTGACTTACTAGCTCAAAATTTAATGTGAGCACATTTTGAATGGGGCAGTTTCAGCTATGGAGGAAATACATTTCAAGAAAGTTGATCAGTTAGTATCTATAATATTGAAAGCCAGTTTAATGAGGGGACAGACAGAGGAGCACACTCATGTAGCTTTCCTAAAACTTCTGCATGGGGATGTTCCCCCCTCCCCAAGCCTATATTTTATTAGTGAATTATTAATATCAGAAACATGCATATAAATCAGATTTTAAAGACTATACAATTAGTAAAAAGTACATAAATTCAATAAGTTATGTGAATGCTACAGACTTAATTATGAGCCAGTGGGACATTTTTGGTTGGTGTACTGACGGTTTGATGGAGCTAGGATAGCTCAGTCAGTATAGAAACTGGCTGTGGGCCAGATGACAGAGGATTCAGGGTTCAAATCCCAGTAGGATCAAGAATTTTCTCCCCATCCATAGGGGCTCTGGGGCACACCCAGCCTCATATCCAGTTACCAGGGGCTCTTTCCCCTGAGGTAAAGTGGCTAGGGTGTGAAGCTGACCACCCACCTCCAACTAGTGCCAAGGCTGTTTCCCCATATGCCTGCATGCAAAGGCACAACTTTACTTTTTTTTTTGTGACAGGCTAATATGAACACACTTGTTCCAAACATTCTGGGTATCAGTCAGATTACAGGCAGTGTGTTGTTCATATGGAAAAATAGATCCAGTTGCTAATGATATTTATACATATGAACTGGTCATTGAATTTTAATGAGAAATATGCATTTTAAAAAGTTCCCGTGTGCTTGACCACATTGTATGTAATATAATTACCACATTGCTTAGTTGAAAATAATTCATAAAACAGTTGTTCTGTTTTGTTTATCTTATGTTCCAACAAAAGCCTTTGATGGTGATTATAAGTACCACATTGTGTGCATTAGCTTTTATAAATGCATCCATTTTGTTAAAGTGTAACATCTCATTTTCTTAAATTTCTATGAGTTGGTTGTTCGCCTCCAAAATGGGGGATGTGCTAGTTAGGAGTTTCAGTAGTGAAGTATCCATTACATCAGAGGGTCGGAGTGTCAATTAGAAATGTATGTTTTCATCTGTTGCAGAGGAGCCGTGGATTTGGGTTCATAACATTCTCAGAGCCTGATACTGTTGAGAAGGTCCTTAAAGTGCCTATCCATACACTTGATGGCAAGAAGATAGACCCGAAACATGCCACTCCAAAGAACAGAGCCAAGGCTGGTAACAGGACAAAGAAGATTTTTGTGGGTGGTGTAAGTCAGGACACGTCGTCTGAAGAAGTGAAAGCATACTTTGGCCAGTTTGGCAAAGTGGAAGAAACAGTAATGCTGATGGATCAGCAGACAAAGCGTCACCGAGGCTTTGGATTCGTGACCTTTGAAAACGAAGATGTGGTGGACCGCGTGTGTGAGATCCATTTCCACACTATCAAGAATAAGAAAGTTGAATGCAAGAAGGCACAACCTAAAGAAGCAGTCCAGACTGCAACACTGCTGGGAAAACGCATGGTTCTTGGCCCGCTGGGAGTAAGGATGGCGGCTCCTCAACCGTTAGCACCAGCCACTCAGCTGGCAGCCGTGCAGGCCCAGGCTCATGCTCAGGCGGCCACAGCGGCAGCCGCCCAGGCTCAGAATGCAGCTGCTTTGGCCGGATACGGGAAGCTGTTTGGAACATACCCAACCCTGGCAAGCTACCGTTATGCTCCGTACCCCATTCCAGCAGCAGTTGGAGCAGTGGGTGGTGTTGGTGCTGCAGTTGGAGGCGTTGGAGCTGCCGTAGGTGCAACAGGCACCCCTACTACAGCTGCAGCGGCAACTCCTGCAACCCTTCCTCCACCTGTACCAGCTAACCCCTATCAGGGCTACAGCCTTACCAATGTTGATATGTCAAGCTTCCAAGGAGTGGACTGGGGCTCCATGTACGGCATGGGCATGTACGTCTGAAGAGTCTCCCGCAGCAGTTAAGCATAAATGCATTTTTTAATAAGTTGAACATCGAGGGGTCTTGAATCATTCAGAAGTTGTCCTTCAGGACTTCCAGCAAGTTTAATTATTTTCATCACTCCTTATCCCATCTTCGGCGCCATGTTATGCATGCTGCTGAACTCGAATGTCAGGTTGCAGTAAATCTGACTAGTGATTGCATGTTGCAAATAAGACTATAAGAATACACAGCTCGGTTTTCCATTTTCTTGTTTAAAAATATGTAAGTTTAGAAGGTTCGGCATTGCCAAATTTTGTGACATTTAGACATATTTGCCAGTGGAAGGAAATTAACCTGGGTGGAAATGGATCCCTTACTTTCCAGCCTCTAGTTTACTCAGTTATGAAATACACTCACACATGAATATTGTCTGCTTTTGCTCATGGCGCAGTTAAAAAATCTCAACTGGCAAGCCAGCCTCCCCAGCCTCAAGCAATAATAACTTGCAATAAGCAGTATTATCAGTGTCTCAACATCTTCCATTGTTCCAGTCTTGAATACAAAGAAGTAAACAAGAATCTCCAACTATCCCACCCCTTATTATTAATTTTTATCATTATCATTATTATTATTATTATTATTGAAAGTTGGGTAGTGAAGATGACGTAGGCTGATGTAAGTTGGACCCACTGCCTTGTGATGTTGTTAGAGATTATATTTTTAGAAAATGGCAAGTGTTTATTGGCTTCTGGAGTTTCTCAACTTCATTATGACTGCCTGATTTTTTTGACATAAGACATGAAGAGGGTTTACCTGAACACGCTCTTCTATATTCAGAGTTGCAACTATGGTGAAACTATGCCACCGGTATGGGTAATGGTTATATGCCAGGTGCCGTAGTGGAAACTGACTGTGTGCATTAGAAGAGGTTGCCTGCCTATGGATTATGGTATATCTCAAATATTGAGATAATTTTGCAACAAAGTATTATGTTCTTAGATCTCAAGTTAAGTATGTTCATATGTTTAGGTCCAATGTTCCCCCTAATATTTCATGGACAGGTCTATTTATTCTCCCATGTTGTGCATTTATTCTGAGACGTGCACTCTAGTTAGAATGTCGGTACGGTAGGAAAATCGACGTGTAGGCAGCTTGAGTTATATGTCTTCACCAGTCATACCGTGGGATCGATCGCTGCATTGAAATCGCCCCACATTCTGCCTAAAAGTCAACTCTTGTACATCATAATTGCTCCTTATAAAAGTGTTCCTTTTAGTGGGGGACCAGTGTTGAAGCATCTAGTCAAGTGGCTACAGTAGCCGTATCATCTCCATTATTGTTTCTTGGTGTTTCACATTAGATATAGTCTGACTCAGCCCAAATTGTATGTAAGCACAGTTCGTTCACCTGTCAACATTCCATAGTTCATGTGTCTTGTCAAAATTGGGGTGGAAAAAGAAATCCTCCCACATGTAATGCATAGAGATTTTTCACATGTGAGATTTGTGGACCAATTACCGTCAGGAGTTGAGGATAGCAAGCAGATCAGTTCCTGCTGTGAAACTAAGAGTTAGCCTGAGCCCCTCTTCCTGTGCACACACCATGTTTCCCTTGGAATGATGCTTTTCATTTAGGTTAGTGTGCAGGCAGTAAGTTTCTTAGTGGGAAACACTGGCAGCATTGCAGACATTATTTATTTAATTTGAACATAGTTTTAATTTAATTTATGTTGTGTTTTTGTGCTGAATGTGACTTTGAAGTTGGAAACCAAGTGTTGTGCAAAGTTGAAGGAAGTTCTTCTTTTATAAATGGGGTAAATGCAGCTTCTCTAGGTTCCTACGTGATTGTTTTTTTTTTTTTGCGAGCCGCGTTAGTTGTATAGTATGCAGATGTACTCGCTCTTAGTTTCGTCAGCACTGTCTGATGCGGCAGCAGGTTCTGAACTGCCACTGGGTCACAAGTGTGCTTCACCTCTCTGGAGAGGTCACATAAACATAATAAATCTTTGATTGTTACTCGTTTTATAATAGTATAGGTTGACCATGGAAATAGCAGGTATTACTCAGTGTACACAATATGATGTTCTTTACCAACTTAAAGTAACTTACAGTTAAGACATTCTCTGCAAAACCCAACAACAGCATGTTCTTATTTATTCTATATTAATGACAATCCATGACTTGCTATTGACAGGAACATGGCATTGATAAAGTACATGCCGTATTTCCTTTGTACTACCATATTGTACTCATACATATTGTAATAGTACCACAGATGTTTTCTGGTTCGTAAAATTAAGTGTTGAGTGTGTGTATGTTCTCATGCAGGGATTGGCCAATAGTAATTTTTGATTGGTACTTGGTGGTGATGATTATGATGATGATGGTGGATTTTCTGTTGGTAGTGATAACAAAGACTGAGATGTGCTACAAAGTGTTTTAATTTAAAATATTGTTTTGTATTACTGGAGTCATAGTTTGTGGGTCAGAGGGAAAGTGTGATCGGGATAGACAGGCGAAGACAAGAGAGTGGGCCTACTGGTAGCAGCAAGGGCGAGTTGACCGGAGGGTGGGGGCAACACACTTTTTTGACATGGGGGTTTTCGCAGAGAATAAACTCATAGCGAAAGGAAAACGTGAAATGCTGGATGATCAGTTCGAAATCTTGGTACAGTAAACTACCATCGCAGTGGCCCTCAAGTTTAGCGTGTTTTTCAGAGTAATTCTAGTATTTAAACTCTCCAAGTTTTGCTGCTTATACTGTATTTAAACTAGACTATACAGTGAAACATATCTGATAGTAGTGATGAGAGATTTGAGCATTCTACAAAACGTTCAGATGGGTGTTTATTTTTGTCTCTTTTTTTTTTCTTTCCTCCCAGGTGTTTTGTTCACATGCACCTTAAAGCATAAGGGAGTTGCTAGCAGTAAACTTGGAAAGTACAGCCATTTTTGTAAAGCTTGGAAGACTTTGTCTTCTGCACCTTCTTATGCCAGCACTATGCAGGTTATAGTGTAGTTCCTTATATGAAAAAAAATAGTGCTTTAGCGATAAAGAGAAGGTTCAAGACAGCAGTGTTAACCACTGAAGTTATGGTTGTGTAGGAATTCATCTTGTACTTCAGAATCACACATTTCATAAACAAGGCAAAGAGAATGACATATTTGATATGTGTTTTGTTCAAGTCATACTGAGATCAAACATGCCTGTACAAGATAAAATCAGAATTGCTTTGATCAGTTAACTGTGTATTTCAGAATAATGTGAAAGGTCCCATCAGATAAATTGTAATGGTATTTTACTGTACATGTAGTCTATAAATTTCAGCTCTCTATTATTATAGCAGCATCTGCAGTTTTCTCGACCTACTCATCTCATTTTTTTGTTTCTCTCTTTCCTTTCTTGTGTTAGAATTGAAGTAAAAGTTTGTCAATGGTGCCAAATACTCAAGTGTCGAGTTAAAATACCCACTAACAACTTGCATAATCACTTTTTCCTTTTGCTTGAGTGACAATACCCTTTTATAATGTAAGAACAGCAATAAGTGTTTTAAGGAGAAAAGGAGAAACCCTCTATTTTTGTATTTAATTCTAAATGAAAAAAGAGCAAATAAAGTTTGTATTTTTTCTTTGAGAAGTCTGTCATGTGGTGTTTAAGGGAGCACCACATAGATAATAAATTTGAAAGGCTTTCAGAGAGGGTTGGTCTGGAAAAAAAAAAATATTTAATCACATTGAAATGAACAGTGTACTCCCTGTCCCTATTACTTCATACTAGTTATTTCTGTTTTTTGGTGGTTTGTCGTATTTTAAAAGTTGTAGTCGATAAGTACACTTGACTAGTTCCTTAGTGTTAGATGTTTTTGTAGTTTCTCTGTGTGTAGATCGTAGTGGGGCTGGATGGATTGCCATCTGGTAGCAAAGACTTGCACTTGTAGAGCAGTTCTGAATAAAGTAGTTTTCATAGTAGACCAGCTGACTGCTTGATGGTATTTATTCCTTACTTATTATTGTATTTGCTTGGTTTATGGCCTGCAGCAGGAACTTTACTGTTTTCAGCTTTTGATAAAAAAAACATGAGAGCTGTGGTGTGAGGGATTGAGAGGAGTTGCTATAATTAACCAATTACTGCTTTTCTGTGATACCACATGACTATAACACTTACTGAGATGAATGGTTGCCTGCACTCTTGGTGGATGTGTGTCCAACACTTGACAATATTCTAGTGCAGCCATGTGAGTTGGATCAGAGTGGTAGACACAGAGTTGCTCCTTTGCATTGCAGAATGTTGCAACAAGTTCCCGTTTGTTTACAGCAGAACAGCTGGAACGTGTGCGCTGCTGGGATGCCATTGCCTGCATTTGCTTGGAGATGCAGGTTAATGACTTAATCCATTGAACTTAGGATTTTTGCAGAACATTCTGACTCATACGAGCACGCCCTGTTTCTACCACGTGTTTAGCGTGCAGAATAGTGCCTGAAAGGGAGCGTTTGTTTCTTTAGAACACGTGTTTGTGTTGGATTGATGCAACATTGGGATAATAACTGAAACCCTCAAATCTTTTTGTTATCCTGTATGACTTCTAAATAGCGCAGTGCCTTATTGGAATTATAACATTAGTAGTGATCTGAGGCCTACAAGCGAGGGGAGCTGAACACCTGGAGGTAGGTGCTCCCCCTTGCAGCTGAGAGCAACTCCTTCAACCTCTCAGATTCAACAGATGTTTTATTAACTTTTCACTGGATTGCACTACAGCAGTTGTAGATACAGTTTTTTTCCTGTCAAGTTTTTTGATGTGTGAGAATTCTTGATATTAGTGGCGTGTGCCGAGAGATTTGGACTCACGCAGAGTTATGCACTACTCGTGTTTTTTTAACAATCATCTATTGAATATATTCCTGGGTGTCTTGTGTGCGTTGTTCAGTGGACTGGTTGTAGTTTTTGTATACTTTGGTTCAAACTCTTTTTTATTATTTGAGCCTTTGTAAGCATGATTGGCGTTACCCATATTTCTCATTCTGTTTTTGGGGAGCCCCTCCCTACTGGTGCTAAGTTAGTATTACATTCAAATCAATGTGCCATATGTGATAGAAAGTTTTTTTTTTCTTATGAGCGAGGAGTATGTAGTGCTAATTGATAAGATGAATTTGAACTGGTTATTGAGACATACATGGATACCGTTATCTGATATACTGTACACTGTTAGCAACCACTGTACTTTAAAGCAACTAGGAAAATATGTGCATGTGTAGGAACCACGATATTATGATCTTTCCAGTAAGGGCTCCATCATTAATAATCAATAATACAAATAACAGTCAGAATTTCAGTCTCCTTTGTCCCGGGCAAGAACACAAATATTTGGTCTAAACGATGACAGTGCAGTGAAAGGGGTTGATGACATTTCATAAGAAGTCTTTTTTCTGCAATAGCAAGTGCTAAATGCGAAAGATAATTCTCATACGATACTAGCCGATGGGAAGCACAGCATTTTGATAAACTTTAATTTTTCACGTACTTTGTTGAGGTGCTTTTATTGGTGACCATACTTCATCATGACTAACATAGTTTGCATTTCACTCTGGTCTTTTGTTTTTATAAATCAAATCCAGTCCTCATCAATACTGTAATTTTCACGTTTTTTCTGAAAATGATAGTTCAGTATGGCAGTTACAGTGCTTGAGCCATTGTAATCAAATGGAGACATAGCCTGCTCCTCTCCCTTACTGCTTATATGCACATCCAATAAGATTTGCAGCTGATTGGCAAGTGATCATAATGAATGAATTCGCTTATTGCATGATGATCAGTTAAAATGGGCACCAGTGGTGGAGCATATATTTGTACTCAAGTCTGGAGCATCTTACCATACAGGTAGGTCACCCTTTCTACTCGGGTGGATGAGAGACATGAGTACAAAAATACGTGGCATTCATACTTCCAAGGGCTCATTTTCAGGGATAGTTTTGTGTGCCGCTTCTACCCTCTCCCAAACCTCACTAGGACCAATTTGAACAGGGACTTGGCTGAGGTTACAACTTAATGCAGTAGTTAGTCATTTGAAGTGTGTGGATGAAACAACAGCAACTAGGGTGACGGAGACAACTCCAACATGTTGTATTATTAACATTTAGTTGCTTTAAATGTAATAATTCCTTGCATGCTTAGTGACAACTGTTCACACCCATCATTTTCAACAGATTCAAATTGCAGTATTTCTGACAAAATTAGAGCAACTGGACACATTCAGCAATATATGGTCTTTAAGAGTCATTGTATGTGTGTGACTTCAGTTAACATTACATTTTGTGTAACAAGAGGAAGAAGGAAGTTTTCCATACCATAAACAGCATATGTTAGGTAGTGGATTTATTGCCCCCATCATGTGGAGAAGTAATGCATTCCATTAAAACTAATGCATGTTCGGGTCAAAGCTGATTATCCATGGAATTCATTTAATTCCCATTTTTAAGAAAGAAGATCAGTGTGTAATCCTTCAATATTTGTTTCTATTTTAAAGAATCCTCTCATGGATATGTTTTGAATATTCTAACAGATTGATTTCAGAAGCACTCTTATTCCATGTACACAGAGCGTTATTCAAATTTAACACAAAGTGAAACATGATTAAAACCTGTTGTGCCTGTTTATACAATAGATCAGCTACCTGATTTTCATATGTATGGGAGATAAGCGTCTCCATTATGACTCATATTAATACAGTTTTAAGAGTTCTGTTACAGAAAGGACTCATATTACCCCAGTTGCGATTGCATAGTGTATTTGAGCAAGCAGGAAAGACTGTCTTGGCCTGATACAAAATAGTTGTGCCATATAAAAGTGTTTGTCTTTACATTTTACATTCTGTAAAACGTGTAGTTCTTTGTACAAAAATTTGACACCAAATACGTAGTATTGGTATCTGTACTTAAATGTGTTTGCTTCGCGGCTGACACTGTGGACTGCTGACTGAATCTAGATTTTCTTTGGAAATTATTAGCAGTATATATAAGGGTTTGTTTCAGCATTATAGTGGCCCATTTTCACAGCTGTTACAAATGTTTTATATACAGTTTGAGTCGGGGGTTATATTCCCATATTTAGTTCTTTTATTTTGGCTGTTCTGCAGATTTTCTGTGAGAACCATTTCCTTTCTCATTGTTTTAAGGGTTTTGTCAATATTTGAAGCATTCTCGTTTTCCTCGAAGTTAAGACCTCTAGTCTTTTACAGTCTGTTTGGCTTGTATTATGAATCTAGTCATTAGAACAAACCTGAAGATGGGACGGTGTTCAATATACACTGGCATTGCAAAACTTCTCAAAGTGTTGTCATGAAATCAGATTAATAATAGGCAACAACACATATTAAGTTGCATAGTTTTAATATACATGTCCACTGAATATAGTGTAATTTCAGGCCCATTATCAGTTGCTATTAATTGGAGTTAACACAAATGTGTGTTATTTTGTTTCAAAGGTGTTTTCTTATAGCTGTATTCATATGTTTTTATCACATCTTCAGATATATAGGATTTCAAGTTCTCACAGCAGCGGTTATGAAGAGATCTATCTTCATATATTTTCCACATCTGAATTAACAAGAATTGCATTTCATACAATTCGCGTGCTATAAAATTTCTGCATATTTGGGGTTCTTCAAAAGACTTAGGGATATTGTTATTGCAAATGAGGTAATTCAGAGGAAAATCTGTGGACATGTTTCTGGTGTATAGCGATTTTCTTTCCTTAAATATAGGTCATAATTTTGAATTTATTTCAAGGCATCAAGTGTCGCAAATTGATCTATAACTGTAAAACTATTTCCTTCCCATGTGTTAATTTAAATGTTAGCAAACAAATTACATAACAACGATCTCAAGAAAGATTGAAAGAGAGCTGATGTAGATGTAACGTTGCACAACGAACGTACATACTTACCTGGCCTATGTATACAGTGATAAAAAAAGCGTGAGGTGCAACCCACCCCCCTCTGTTTGCATGATAACATGGGATGTTCCTTGCGTATCATTCCATAGAATTAATGAAAATCAACTCAATTTATATTTCCTCGCAAAGCTGACGTTTGTTATACATATACATGTTTCTGACAGATTTAGATCAAACCTAAATGTGGCAACTTGACGTACTGTGCCTGATCTCAACCAGTTCGTGGTGGATGATATCTTACAAATTGTGGCTGAATTATAAAATGTCACGCAGAACAATGGAATCTTTCATTGATGGTAATTGAGTTGAATTTTTGTGATTCACATAGCTTAGTCTGAGGTGTGTCTTGTGCTGTGTACTATTTGTACATGTTTGTTCTAGAGCTAGACATCAACCCCTCTCCTGCAAATGTCACACTTCCCTAGCCCCCCAGTATCCACTTTTAAAACCCTATTTTGTACAGCTTTTCCCTCTTCCCCCATCATAAAAGTGCTGTGTGCTACCCTGTCTTCCAAACCATGGTTACACAATCCGTGGGACCAGTGCCACAATTTTTCTGTTGGCAATATCAACCTCAGTATATTTATTCATGGACAGATTAAAATTCCCCAGTAAATAAAGAGTTGAAAGTTGTATTATCTTTTCATGAAGTAAAAGAGAAAGCGTTTGTATTCTATAAAAATTGTACCTCCCCCCAATGATATGTGTCGTCAATTGGGAAATACTTAAATACTAAAGTGATTTCTTTCTTAACAGTAAATAATGTAAAAAGAACGGTAATATATACATATATAAACGAAATACATATATTTATCGTGGATTCTAAGTGCTATTATAAGAATATTTTCTATTTTCGTTAGTGGGGGATAACACCCAAAATCACTTACAATTCCTGTTACGTGTAAAAACGTATTTCTGTTTGTGCCAGAAATGTTTACGGTTCTGATGCGACTGTTCTACTCTGACTTCAAAATTGATGCAGTTTTCCAAATGTTTCTTATAAATACATAATTGTTAATAACTGGACAGGAATCGTAAGGATTTTGTTAACCTATAGTGATAAAAACTTACAAAGAACTTAAAAGACTCCTTAAGTACATTCCAGAAATGGGTTTAAATGTAGATGAAATCTGATACATGCTTGTAAGAACCCAGCTACAAATGTGGGGTACAGTGTGCCCCAGAGAAAAACAACAGTTACTGTGAATTTAAGACTTAAATATTCAAGTATAATATGCTCAAAAATGTTGTTTGATAATTTTGGCGGTTTGTCCCAATCAGTTATTTATCCCAACCAATATTTTACAATTCAGATACTCTGTTACAGGTAAACGGTTCGGAACATTTTTTTTTTCTCGACATATATAAGATCTGCTTCGTTTGAGCAACATTGCATTTATCTGTGACATTATGATTAAGTTTTTTTTTAAAGTTCGCTCTTTAATAAAACGTATTGTTGACATACTTTTGGAACCAGTGATACAGTAATGTTATTTTATCTGTAGTGTGTTACTCCTATATTGGCATTTTATATGCTTCCTTGAACATGGGGGCGGTCAGAGAGGGGACCCTGCTGCTCGTTACCTAGCAGCCAACTTTTCTGTTTTTCCTCAACCTCTTAAGTACCCAATCACAAATTTAGTTTTTTTAAGAGTAGAGGAGTTTTGCCCTTGGATGAAACAAAGTTCTGAAACTTGCATCCCGGAATGTGGTCTTTTGCCAAAAGAGGCTTCGGTAACACGATCGATTTTATTTGAATTATTTGTGTTTATATCGGTGATGACGACGGTTGCGAGATCTAAGACATGAACTGTCTTAGCTCGTGAAAAGTTAAACAGTCCCGTCTAGTGTGACTGGTGAAGTCTTTTATTTCAATTATTTATGTCCTCACATGTTTCTGTCTTGAGAGCCATCATCAGAGGGACACCTTTACATCAATACAGTTGGAAGTCACTATTACAATATGTGTTCTGAACTTTAAAATATATATACATATAATAATAATATACAATTGAGTATAAAATCTAAAGTTTTTACAACTACAGCGGCTGTTCCAATACATTAAAATATTTGTAATTAGTTAAGATTTTATTGGCATTTATATACCAAGTAGGTTCGTCGCGTCTTATTATTTCTATTGACGGGGGCCGAACGTGTGTCGCCTTGTCGCTCTCGGGAAGAGGGTTCTTTGATGTTGCCCTCTATGTGTTAGTGGAGCGCTGTTTTTTGTTGCCTTCGCTCGCTCGAACACGGGTCGTGGGTTCTAATCCCTCTCGAAACATGAATGGCTGCGTTAATACTGTGTGTAGGTAGCTGCCTTGCTACGGGCTGATCCCCCGCCTAAGGAGTTCTACCAACTGTCTATAAGACTGAAGTGTAACAAGGAGTTTCACAGATATGAATGAATTATGTATATACTTATAAATTCAGATACGTGGAAGCTGCCTTAAGAGTGATCCAGAAGAAGAGACTTGGCTAATCCTCTGAGGCCGTTACTGATGGTATATAAAGATATGGATGAGTCGAATCGTAAAACTGCACAATATCAGATTTCAGTTTCTGTTTGCCGTTAATTTCCCGTCTAATCTCAATTCATATAACGTGCCTCAGACATATTTGAGGTAGCTGAGGTTTGAAATGTGTTTCTTTTTATCCTTGCGAGTACACTCACCTCCAACTAGTGCCGAGGTCAAGAAAAACTGGATCTATACATCCACTCCCATATACGCTTTCATGGCGTAGTGCTTAATTAGTTAAGCACAGGGACATATTTACCTTTTATCCGTGCGAGTACTGCAGTGTGTCATTTAAAATGGAAACGAAACGGCCATAATATGGCACAGAAATGAGATGGGAAACTGATTCCCACTTTAGTGGGCTAACTTGCCTCGTCACACTGGGGTCGGTGTCATTTTGACTGCTAGGCTGCTTCCGTCGCCAGTTCCCAAGATGTGTTCATGGCTTATTGACGAGCAGAACGTGTGTTCATTTTCGAATGTTTGTATCGAAACAGTTTTCTGCTCTTTGTGAAGAATTTTGCAATGCGTAGCCTGTCAAGTGCCGTATAAAACGACAATACACCGACTGGTAACAATTTTGGGACACATGAAGTGTTTATGACATGTGACATGTCCTGCATCTAGCAGTTTGTGCAGGTGGTACGCCCTATAATGTTGGAGAAACATTAGACCAACTGCACCCTTGCATATGTCGTGTGCTTTGCTTTTTAAGTGGTACCTTCGGTATAACGGGTGCACGCGGTAACGTAGTTAGTTGAGTCACTATGCTACAAGCCGGAAGGTCGCGGGTTCAAGTTCCGATGAGGTCGTTATATTTTTTCAATTGACCTAATCCTTCCAGCCGCACTATGGCCCTGGGGTCTACTCAGCTCTAACAGAAATGAGTACCAGGAATATTCTTGGTGGTAAAGGGCGGCCGGGGCGTAAGGCTGACAACCTTTCCGCCATCTTTGAGCCGATTGTCTAGATAATGTGGGACCCTCAACATCTCACGGCCTGTTACAGCGATAGCTTTACCTTTTACATTCGGTATAATGGTGAGACGGGGTAGCGCAGTCGGTATAGAGACTGCCTACGAGCTGGACGACCGAGGGGTCGGAGTTCGAGTCCCAATAGTGTCCAAATTTTCTCTTCATATCGTCTAGACCGGCTCTGGGGCCCACCCAGCCTCCTATCCAATGGTTACAGGGGGTTCTTTCCCCGTGGGTAATGTGGCAGGTTCGTGAAGGTAGACCACTCCCAGCTAGTGCCGAGGTCAAGAAAATGTGGATGTATACATCCATTCCCCCATACGCCTTCATGACGTAGTGCTTAATTCGTTAAGCACAGGGACAACTTTACATCCGGTACCATGGGACCGTCTGGGAGGCTTAGCTGCCCGGACCGAGATTTCGGCTACGCAATTCCACGACACTCAGAAAGGCCTCTGATCACCTCTCGTTCTTGCAGTTCCTCCAGTGTAAGGTTCGATTGTATACACCGTGCCTGTCTCCTGCATGGTTATCAACATTTCATAGGAACATGCTAGTTTCTGCGCTGCCTCGGAGAAGTTGGTAACCACATAAACCAGAAGAAGGCCGCGCCATAGCTCAAGCGGTTAGTCGCTGGCTTCCCGGGTCTGTTCAAGTGGGATTTGTGGTGGACAAAGTGGTGCTGGGGCAGGTACAATAGGCCAGAGTGGCCGCAGTACAAAGGACTTAGTCCCACCCCACTAGCATTAAAAAATGAATCCAGAAGACACTATCTAGTTTTTTGTTTAAGTTTCTGGAGTTGGGGTGAGGCTGAGTCCACTTTGTACGTCGACCACTAATTAGCCTATTGTACCAGCCCCGGGTTATAGATGATGAATATGGAGCAGTCGGTGGAATGAGAATTAGCAGGGGAAACCGAAGTACTCTGAGAAAACCTACCCCAGTGCCACGTTGCCTACCACATATCCAACCTGACCTGGGCTCGAGCCTGTGCCTCCGCGGTGGGAAGCCGGCGACTAACCGCCTGAGCCATGGCACGGCCGAAGACATTTGAATGTTACATTCGCGTACACCCTTGAAGACCTCGGGTCTTGGTGGAATCATAGTAGCATCGAGCTCCCTCGCCAACGAAGTAGCATTCTACACTTCGACTTGCACATTAAACGTCAGGATTTGATGAATGATGAAGTTGTCAGAGCATGAGACGGACCTGTGCGTTACAAGGAATCGCATCACCGAATCTGCATGTATATTCTTCGTTCTGCATACTGAGCCACAAATATATACCTCAACATTGTTGCCCGGTATTCGATTTTGATGAAGCTGCATAACTTGAAAGGGGAAAGCCCCCCCCCCCCCATACACACGCACACACTTTAACACGTCCTTGTCAAGTTTACATACATGGCGGTCGCACGAATTTGAGACGTGAGAAACCAAAAATTTATTTTCAGTATATCCTTAGCGTCATAACATGACATGAAATTTAAACCACGACAATATTCTATAATACAATTAAAACTTCTTTTAGATCTGATCTTTCGGAATTATTTGATACAAAGGATATGAAATGTACAACGAAAATGAAGGCACCGTTTATCCGAAAGGTCGGTAATGGTCAACCAGCCCGAATGACGTCACTTTGCAGAAAACAGTAATTTTCATAGTTAACTGGTTGGGAACCTGATCGTACATAATATGGTGAAGTAGTTAGTACACCGTGTTCGGGAGGCCTTGGCTTCAGATCTCGCTCCAGAGATTAGATGTTCTGACTGAGACGTTTTATTTTCCTCAGTCTCTTCAAGCAAGAGCCATAGATGCCCCGGGCTTTATCCTTCCATGTACCTTTCCATTCATTATTAGCCAGTCCTATCGTATAAGTTTGAGATTTTAACCGAGCCGTATGTTGAAGCTGTACCAACGTTTCGACCTATCTTGCAGTCATCTTCAGGGTCAATGAGACGGAGGGGCGAAATTTGCCCCTGTATGTCTTGGAGTGGCGGAAGGGGCCAGGAGACAGGAATTGTCAATCGACAATAGACAATCTGAGCACTGAATTGGTCGTTAAATATACCATACATAAATATTATTCCTACAGAATTATAACTTACACAGATTGCTTTAAAAGAAACTGTCATATCGTGGACACAATAGGTGAAAATTCAACGGAGAGTGAAACGGGCCTTTTGAGTGACATAACGGGTCGGAACTCATACTTTTTTTTTCAATTAGAAATTGTCAGGTTACGTCGAGAGATGGCAGAACTGTCGCGACATTTGTACAGAAGAACGAGTGGGTAGGTTCCACTAGAAGAT